CAGAGACTGGATCTGGGCAGGCAGTGCGTCATGGAGTGAGGCAGTGGGGAGGCAGGAATGGAAACCTCAGCATAGAGGGTTTGCACAACCAGGCTATGGCTAGGAGGCACAGGATGTTGGGTTCTTTGCTCTAGGGCTGCTGGTGGGAAGGGGGAGGTTGGAAGGGCCTGTATGTATAGCAGTGAGAGGAGTAGAGACCAGGGATGTGCAGGGAAATGACAGGCTTTGAAATTAGTGTGGGTCAGCCATGGCTGAGGCCCAGGTACACATAGGATGGTGTGTTGGGATGCCTGAACTCACCTGGGCCACCACCCCTTGCAGAAACCTGCGTACTGAGAGCAACCCGGGCTCCAGCACTTGCCTCTGCCTTCCTCCCCCAACACTGGCCTCAAATGCACAGGTTCTGTCTTCACCCTTGGGGGGCCGGGGCTGGTGCAGGCTGGGTGTGCAGGGCTGTGGTGGGCCGGGTGGGTATGGGTGAGGGTCTGGGGAGAGGTGTCTGGATGGCTCTGATTCTGCTCCCCTAGGAAGAATGAGAACCTCCCAACTCTTCCCTCACGCCCACTCTAAGTGTTGTCACTGACACACTTTTGGGTTGATGGCCCCTTGAATTGGGGTCACATCCATTCTTCTCACCTTGGCTTGGCCCCTAACATATCACATAACTTTGGGTAAGTCACTCACCGTCTGTGTTTGGCTTTTTGCTTTTATGGCTGTAAAATAAGAAGCATCGCCCCTGTCCACACCTTCAGCCCCCTCTCCCCTCCCCAGGACTTGCCCCAAACAGAGCTGGCTGGCAACCAGAGCAGAACATGGAGAGGGAAGGGCTGCCACAGTGTAGGCCTGAAAGGGAGAGAGAGGAAATGGCTGGGGCCCACAGTCTCCTCCACCCTGAGGTGCAGCCCTGAAAACATTGACGCTGGTCTTTGAATGTCTTTTCTCACCACAGTTCAGTGGAGATGTTGAAGGAAAAACCTGGAGGAAGGAAAGCACTTCCTTCGTTCTCCCCCTTCCCCAGGGGGTGCCTGGGGCTTGCTGTCCTTGCTCTTCTCTTCTTGGCCTCACTCTCCAGGGGATGTCCTCACTTACTCAAGGTTCAGCCACTGTCCACATTACTAATGACCAAGGAGTCCCAAACCCACACATCCAGCCCAGTGTCCGGTAGCCACACTGCTCAACTCCAGGAGGCCAGGGTTGGGCTGCAGAGTGGGAAGGGAAGAGGCATTCCTTTGAAACACAGTGCACGGTGCCCCAGAGATGTGTAAGGCCCTGCCAGGACCTCTCTCCTGGACACCAGGAGCCTCTAGCTGATTGTCCACAGGACAGCTCCACGTGGATTTTCCACAGGCACTGCAAGCTCAACCTGACCTCACCCAAACACGGCAGCTCCTTCCTTCCTTTTAATAATGGCACCATACTCCTGGGGTCTCAGCCTCCAAACCTCCATCCCTCCTGACTTCCCGTCTCTCTTTGTCTCGCCTCCAGCCTCTTCCCATGTCCTGTCAATTCTGCCCCAAGCTGTCTGCCTCTATTCATCTTTTCTTCCCCCGGATGATCTGTCTTATTTTTAAACTATCAAACACATATAGGACGACTTGTCCTATGCCTGGCTCCGTTCTAAGTGCTTTATTAATATGAACTCACAACCTTCATTTTACAGATGAGGAAACTGAGGCACAGGGAAGGGAAGCCTCTCACCCAGGGCCGGGATTTGAGCCCAGGCAGCCTGCCCAAAAGTCTGGGCTGTGAGCCACTATCACAAGAACTATCACAAAATCCCCACCCTCATCCCTGCTCCTTCAATCATGCCCTCATTCAATCCCTCCCACACATCGCTCCCAGGCTGGTCTGTCTTCCCTTCATGTTTAAGAAAACACTTTAATGACAAAAAGTACTACAGCAGTTTAGTCTTTCTGAAGCGTGACTTTGAACATATTATTCCCTGCTCAAAAAACCTTGAAATTTCCCCCACTACCGCACGGCATGCAAGCAGAAGAAAGCCCATCCCCCCCACCCCCGCTAGGAATTCAAGGGTGTGACACCAACAACCTCTCCTGGGGAACCCCTCAATGTTCCCCTCAGGTACCCCTTCCTCTGGCTGTCCTGCCTCACCCGCTCTGCGTGGGGTAAGCTCTGAATGGACCCCTCCTCCTTGAGGAAAGGCTGCACATCCGATTCCCCTCTGAACCACCAACGCCGTCTACCACAGTGTGTCACACAGAGCTAGGTGTGACACATGTGATGAATAAATAACAGTGGAACTAAGCTGCTTATGAGGGTGGAAATTAATTATTTCATTAAACAACGTTTGTGGAACCCTTGTGGCTAATAATAGCTAACACTGGGCACTATGTGAAACACTTCACACATATTATCATTTAATCCACTCTATAATCTTACAAAGGCAGTACTATCGCTATCCCTCATTTTCCAAATGAGGAAACCGAGGATCTGAGAAGAGAACTAACTTGTCCAGAGTCATAGAGCTTTCAAGTAGAGAGGCTGGGATCAGAACCAAGGCTGCCGACTCTGAGGTCCCACCACACCTTACTGCCAGAGGAGTGTTAGACAAACGTTCCAATGTCTGGGTAATGTCCAAAGACCATGTCATGGGGCCATATAAGTGATGTCAAAGTAATCGAGTCCAACATCTGAGCAACATTGTAGCACTGACATGTCTAATGTCTGAGGACTATATGGACTTGGTATAATGTTGTACTTCAGTCATCCCAACATTTATCAAGCACCTACTACATCCATGCCAGCCACTATTTTAACTCATGGGTGTAGAGCAATGACAACCCCAACCCCAAAACACCTCCTCTCATGTAGCTGATATCCTAGTAGGGGGGAAGAGGGGGAACTAAACAAAAAAATATATATATGTCAGAGGTGACAATTGCCATGGAAAAAAATTAAGCTGGATTAGGAAAAAGGTACTGCCCAATGAGCTGGTGGGGGTATGGTGGTGGCATTGCTCTCCACCAATAATGTCTGAGCAGAGGCATGAAGTAAGTGAGGGAGTAAGCCATGCAGCAATATGTAGATATTCTAGACAGAGGACATAGTAAGTGCAAAGGCCCTGAGCGAAGAGCATGCTTGGCTCAGTCAAGGAACAGCCAAGAGGCCTGTGTGGCTGGAGCAAAATGAATGGGGAGAGAAGGAGCAGATGAAATACGCAAACACATGAAAATGCCGAGGCTTCATAAAATCAGGCTCTGTGTAACACCACATATATGGGTAATAACAATAGCTAGGATTTATTGAGTGCATTCCACATGCCTGGTACTCAGTACTGCCGACACAAAACCTGCTACACACAGGCTCCCTTAGATTCTCACGGAGAGACAGACAAAGAAATCCCACAGTGCTACGTGACAGGTGCTATGTCAGGGTGCCATGAAATTATTAAAGAGAAGCATCTAATCTGGACTAGGGGCCAAGGAGGCTTCCTGGAGGAGATGGCACTTGAGCCATCAAACAGGAGAAGGAAAACACTCAAGAACACAGATGCAGAGAGGGAGGGGAAGGCTAGAACCTGGAATGGCCAGGCAGAGCTCAAGCAGCAGTGCCCAGGGATAGGGGTGGGCGTCGGGGGTGTGAGGGGAGGCTTGTGGGAAGAAGTCCAGGGCAGGGTTGGAAGAAGGAGAGAGAGGACAGGGAAGTACAGTGTATAGGGGCTGAAAAAGCCTGTGGACAGGGAGGCCCAGGCTTAGTGTGGGGTGTTGGTGGTTATGGAGTGAGGCACAAAGGGTGAGCAGAGGTGAAACAAAGTCTTCGATAATTTACCTGCCCACTCAGGATCCTTTCTCACTGGGCATTAGGTTGCGCTAGCTGGTTGTTGACAGGGAAGCAGAAGACAAGGGGCCACTCCCACCTGTGCCAGGTCTTGGTTTCTCATCCCATCCTATGAGATTCAGATCCTTCTTTTAGGCAGCTCTCTAAGTCCTGACCCTGTGGCAGCCCAGGACACTCTGGTAGGAGGTTTCTCAGTTAATAACAACTCACATTCTCGCAGCACCTCATGGTCTTCGATGGGCACCCACTGCTATAACCTGTGTGTCTTACAGTCAATCTAGTATGGACAGAGCTCCACTGTCATCCTCCTTTCCATAGGAGATGCTGCAGCCCAGAGGTTAAAGCCTTGTGAAAGTCACGTGGCCAGTGGGTGACTAAATTGGGACTTGAGCCCAGCTCTTGAGATTGCAAGCCCCACAGTAACACTGCGTCATCTGTGGAGAACAGGGCCTGGCGATGGCTGAGTCCCAAGGACAAGCCTGGGGAAAGGGATGCAGCAGTCTCTGCAATGGGGGGAAAGATAGAGATGGTGTGATGGAGGCCAAGAGCGGAAGCAGAAAGGGAGCAGTGCAGGGGGTTGGAGAGGCTTTGAGACAGAATTAGAGGTGTCCCCAGAAAGACCTGGTAAAATGTCCCAGCAGGGTTATAAAAATCAGAAGTTGTGTCTTCCCACACCACTTCTCCATGAAGGTAGTGAGGGACCTCTTGCTCCTATTTCACAGGTGAGAGAACCAAGGCAAGGAGTGGGGCCCACCTGGCTTGCCCAGGTGCCCATAGGAATTTAGGGCCCAGGGGCCCTGTTAGAAGGCAGACAAGTCTCAGACAAGAAAAGTCTGAGACTTTTCCCAGTCTACCGTGGATGATGACATAGAGATGATGAGGATGAGGTGGAGATGGAGGCCGAAATCAGGGCCGAGTCCAAAGAGAGAGGGGGAAAGAGGCAGAGAGAGGCACGGCTGGAGCCTGCCAGCAGCAGAAATGGGGAGAAAGGCCTGACACCCAGCTTCAGTTCTGGGCAGGCAGCATCAGCTGACTGGGATGTCACGGAGCCCCCGAGCCGCCTCCCGCCCGCGCGGACCCATCCATTTGTGCTGCTGCGCAGAGCGCGCTCCCTTGTCCGGGGGGGTAAGGGTACCAGGGAAGAGCCGGCAAGAAAAGGGGGCGGTGCAACGCCTCCTCCTCTCGGCTTGCGAATCCGCAGAGGCTCCGCTGCAGCCTCCTGGCCCGCCCCCGTTCCATCCTCCCTCTGCGACTGGATGGTACGTTCCGGTCCGCCTGGCCCGGCTGCGGTGGATGTTGCTAGAATCCACGCGGAGGAAGGAAGAGACGCAGGCAGGCTGCGGTGACTCAAGCGGCGGCCCCTGCCTCAGGGACCCCTTCCCCGAGAGACGGCACCATGACCCAGGGAAAGGTACCTGCATCTCCCCTGCCTGCACCATCCTCCATCCTCCAGCTTCCCGGCTCCCTGTCATCCTAAGCAAGCTCTCTGGACCACCATAAGCATCCTCCCCTGGATCTTTTGCGAAGATCCTGTGTGGTCCTTCCTGAAGTTAGAGGACCAAAAGACCCATTTCAAGGAATGGGTGGGAGCCTCTTTCTGCCCACCAGGCTCACCTCTCCTCCCCTGTCTCCCTCCCACCCCTTGCTTTCATATCACAGGACCCTGCACAAACGCCCAGCACCCCTTAAGGAATCAGCCTGGGTACCCCCGCAAGCAAGCAAGCGCGAGTGTGTGTGTGTGTGTGTGTGTGTGTGTGTGTGTGTGTGTGTGTGTGTAGTGAGCTCTGAGGGGCAGTTC